TAGTTGAACGTCAGGGTGCAGACCCGCAATTCGGGAAAATATTGCAATTTTACGCATCAGGCAAATCTATGGCTCTACCGCCTCGATCCATAACAATAGAGTGCTCTTGTAAATTATGGCCTTTTCCCGGAATGTATGCATTTTTGTTTTTCTCCGGTTTTTTTTTTTTGTTTTTGTTTTTTCTGTAGTTGAACGTCAGGGTGCAGACCTGCAATTCGGGAAAATATTGCAATTTTACGCATCAGGCTAATCTATGGCTCTACCGCCTCGATCGAGAACAATAGAGTGCTCTTGTAAATTATGGCCTTCCCCCGGAATGTATGCATTTTTGTTTTTCTCCGGTTTTTGTTTTTTGAATGTATGCAATAACCTCATTTCTATTGGTTAATCTCACTTTAGCTATTTTGCGTAAAAAAGCTGAGTTGGGTGTTTTTTCGTGTTCTTGTAGAAACACGAGTCCCGCTGAGTTGCTTTTTTTTTTTTTTTCGGTGTTCTTCTTTTAGAAAAACATGTTTCGTCCCACGCGTAATGATGGAAAGTGGAAAATAAAAAGCGTTTTCGTTTTTTTTTTTTTTAATTTAAATTTATGAAAGCTATAATGAGAAGCCCTATCAGGGCCCCTTCTACGTAAAAGACAAACGTTTGAAAAGCTTAGCCAAAAAAAAAGAAACGTTTGAAAACGTTAGCAGCACTTGGTACTAATTTGTTTTTTTTATCCCTCCCCCCCCCACCGGGGGGGGTGGGCGGGGTTGGAAAAGAAGATTATCGAAGAGGTGCAAAAGGCAATACTTGGTATCAAACCGTATTTTCGAGTTATGAATAAGTAAAACGATGACGGCTGGGGTAATCACAGTTAACGAAAAAGAGCCCATCAGTTCAAGGCTGGGGTAATCACATTTAACCAAAAAAAGAAGAAAGGGACCCCTTGTCTTTTTTTTTTTTTTTGGCTTTTTTTTTTTGTTTTTCCTATTCGCCCCGAACAATTGCTCTTACAATGCTCGCAACAGCGCAGGACTTTTTTTTCCGTCCTCTGAGCAAGCTTGGGCGATTTTTAAATTTTTATTTTTCCTTTCTTTCTTTGGGGAAAAGATACGCAGACCTGTCGGGGACAAAACGCGAGATAAACCCGGGCTTTCCCTTTTTGCCTGAACTCTGAGACGCACCCCTGCATTCCGCATCTGGAGGGTGCGACCGACCAGGTGCATTCCGCGCATCTGCGTTATCCGATTCCGCGCATCTGCGTTATCCGATTCCGCGCATCTGCGTTATCCCGCCGGCCAGGTCGGCTGCGAATGCACCTGGACCGCCCTGTACCATACATGCATGCAGATGCGGAATGCCCGGGTGTATGCATCTCAGGCACACAAGGGAAAAGACTGATGCATCTCGGTACTTTCCCCTTCTCTTTTTCCACTCCCTTCTGCGCCCTCCCCTCCCCCCCCGGCGGCTCGCCTTTTCGTTTTGACATTCTAAATGCGAGAAATTTGCCAGCTTGTTCATTTTTATATATACACATTTTCTCCTCTTTTTTTGTTTTTTTTAATGAAAAGCTGTCTTCTCCTCATCGCTTGCTGCTTGACTTTTTATCGCGATAAATTTCAGACTTTCTCGAGGGAATATACGGCCTCGCTCTGCTTCTCAAACCTTGGACGTGACACTGGACTGCAGAGTGGACCAAATGCATTCGCACTGATGCAACGTTTCAAACGTATCGGGCCTGTTACCACTCCCAAATACATCTGGAATCGTGCCCAAAACGCGTCGATTCGATCCGTTGACCTTTGTAATCGACGGAGCATACCGCTATCTCGAGCTGGGTTTTGTGGACGCCCACCTATATTTATTTATTCATCTTCTTTCTTCTTCTTCTTCTTCTTCTTCTTCTTCTTCTTCTTCTTCTTTCTTCTCCCTCCACCCTCCGCCTCCTTCCCTCCCCCCTCTCCCTTCCTTCCCCTCCTCCCGCGCCCCGCGGTCCCCGCTTTTCGCGATTACTCATTCTCTTCTTTTCACCATTATCATCGATCGGTGATGCCAAGCATGGAGATTATGATAACGGTGTAGGCATGGGGTGAGGATTGGGGCGGATCCTCCGTAGGCATGGGGGGAAGGTTGAGGCCGATCCTTTGCAGGCATGGGGGGAAGGTTGGGGCCGATCCTTTGTAGTAGGCATGGGGTGAGCATTTGGGCCGATTCTTTGTAGGAATGGGTTGAGTATTGGGGCCGATCCTTCCTTCGTAGGCACATGGTCCCATCCCTCTAACCCGGACTGTCCGCGGCTCCATCCCTCTAACCCGGATTGTCCGTGGTCCCATCCCTCTAACCCGGATCGCCCCGGGAATGTGGACCGTCGATTATAGAGAACAGTTTCCGGGCTAAGCGGGAGCTCGCCGTCCCCGGGAGTATATCGTCATAGAGAGCTGCTTACGGTGGGCCGTAGGCAGAGAGGGGGAAGAGGACAACAAACGAGGGGCTGTGATAGACTGTATATCTATATATGTATGTATGTATATGCATTCTTAGTATCGCAAGTTATGATACTTATCTCCCCTCCCTGCCGTTCGCCAATCGTACGTAAGGTGAGTTTTTTTTTGGTTGGGTAATTACTAATTACTAATTACTACTAGTATAACACATTACCGTACATTATGCAGATCAAATTCTGTGACACGATGGTGACCACTTGGAATCTCTGTGATCTTCGATTCGCGCATTCCACTCGCCGACCAGTCGATTCCGCGCCGCGCCTGCACGGCGCGCGAATTGACTGCCGTCTGCTTGGGGAACTGACAGTAAGAAGAAAGGAAGGCGGCGGAGGGAGGGACGAGGGGAGGGGGAACGGGAGGAAGTAGCGGGAGGGCGCACGCTTTGGCGAGTCCGATCCACACACACACACACACACACACACACAGAGAGAGAGAGAGAGAGAGAGAGAGAGAGAGAGAGAGAGAGAGAGAGAGAGAGAGAGAGAGAGAGAACACTTGCGATTTGGACAATACGTGCGAGGCTTTACTCTCACAGAATACACGTCCTGCCCATGGCATGCGACAACAACATGTCGCGATCACCCTTCTGCCTCTCTGAGAGAGAGAGAGAGAGAGAGAGAGAGAGAGAGAGAGAGAGAGAGAGAGAGAGAGAGAGAGAGAGAGAGAGAGAGAGAGAGAGAGAGAATCCTGTTGGGTTGTTTCCTCTCCGTATTACTGGTGATATCAGTGATAGGGTAGTACACACATCCGGCCACAGACAGTGGAGAGGTAATTGTGATGCTTCCTTTTGGAGAAGGGTTCTCTTTTCTTTGCCCTGGCACTCGCGATCCGTTGACCCCCTCCCCAACGGACTATGGCGGGCAACAGCATGTGGGGACTCTCATACAGGATTATCTAGACTGTCGCACAGGATTGTGGGGATTGTCACACAGGACTCTGCAGGCTGTCGCACAGGACTCTGCAGGCTGTCGCACAGGACTGCATTTCCCAGGCCGTAAATCCGTGTGTGGTAGAGGGTAACGGCAGTGTGACCTGGCCCCTCCCTCCCGTAGCAGGTAGAGAGGAAAATGGCGC